TTGTAATGACCTGCCAAAACACAGACTGAGAACACTGCTGATCTCTGAGTTTTGCCGTTGGAATGAATGGCTCGCTGAGATTCCCACGTTCTGCTGAGTTTTCTAAGTCTGTGCGTGTGTGTGCTTGCTGGTTTGTGCGCCTGCCTGAGTGCTTGTCAGTCTGCGTGTGTGTGTGGCCCGCCAGGGCGCTTGTTCGTTTGGAAGGCCCACAGGGGGCTGGTACCTGTGGTCGTGACTTTGAGCGTTGCAGTGGGGAAAACACTCAAGTAGTGGGAGTAGGCCCGCAGCACTTAGAGCAGCGGGGGAAAACACTCAACTAGCAGGTAGGCCGGTACCACTCTAGTAGCAATAGATGTGTCGGGAACTGGAGGTCGAGCAAGAAGAAGACAAAATGTTGGCATTTTTCAGAGGCCCAGTAGCGATAGGCTAGAGGTAGGCGGGTACCAGTCCAAGTAGCCTGAGTCCAGCACCTGTGCGGATGATATCAGAGGCTGCAATTATGTTTCCCTCTGAAAGGGAGGAGGTACCGGTTGCTTGGAGGCCGTGCGGCCTGGAAGTCACCGCCCAAGAGGCAAGTAGGCCGCTATATCTCCAGGTAGAGCGCTGAGTTCTACCTCATTTGCGGTATGCAAGTTTGGGCGTCATGCTGCTTGAGCAGGCACTGGACTTCAGAGCGCTGCTGGGAGGAGGAACGCAGCTCTACCAGCGCTGGCTGGGAGGAGGAGCGCCTGAGTGACCTCCCTGGCTATGGAGGAAGACCCTAGGTAGGAGGAGGAGGAAGAAGGGGACTAGGGAGGAGAGTGGAGAGGGACTCACCTGGCTATGGTGAACGCCAGCTTCATCACCTTGTTAGGCGCTGCATCTGGAAGGCCCCAGTGGGGGTTGCGCCGCACCAAGAAGGCTTCAAGGCAGAGTCAGGCATGGCGACCTGAGCAGCAGTCTGCTTTGCGTTGTCTTTTACACACCAGGGCTAGGCCCTTAGTAGTCCGCCATAGGCTCGGCCTGGTTGGGAGAAGGAAGCCATGGCTATGGTGGAACTGTAGTTATGCCAAGCAGTAAAAGTGGGATTCGGACTTTGATTCTGGTTCAGCCATTCATCATCATTATTATTATTTATTGAGTGAATAAGAGAGGAGGCGGAAGGAGGAGAAGTTGGTTGGTGAGAAGGAGGGGGGTTGTCATTGATCTTTTGCTGGTGTACATCTTCTTCTTCTTCTTCTTCTTCTTCTTCTTCTTCTTCTTCTCTTCTCTCAAGTCGTTCATTTCTTCTGCAATTGGACGGCATTGTGCTTTCTCATGAATTTTGCACTTCAAAATTGGCCAGGAACGTAACATTCTCCTTCTTCCTCATCTTCTTCGTTCTTCCTCTGTGTCCCTTCTATCTGGTCCGTGTTTGCTTATTACCATGCTTCCTGTCTCCCGCACTTGGTTTAGAAACGATTGAAGCATCTCATGAATGCATGCATGCTACTTCCACGTTCTCCCAATTGCTGCCACTCTCCCGTGATACAGGATCAAAGTTTTTCAAACATGTGCATGCTCAAAACGAGGAAATGATTTATTAGCCGGCAGCTGGAAACCATCCTGTGTTTCAGCAAATAAAGATTGGTCTGAACTTGCATGCATGTAGGGGAGTGCTGGTTTGACTGCGCCCTCAACTCCGGATCTCTTGGCTGTCACGGTTTGTCATAGAGCTTGGGCGAAGCTGTCACAATTGGAAATTTTGGACTGAATGTTCATGCTGGTTTTTCTATGCTCTTTGGACTCATTGCACTTTCATGTTATTGTACTTCACTCCTTTTGGCATGCATGACAGATTAAGTCAGTGTTGTATTGGATGCATCTTGATGCCTTTCCTTGTGCCTACGCTGATGAGCCGGTCAGTCATTTCATCATCATCGAATGAATCTTCACCTGAGATTGGGTCAGTTGCATCCCAGCCTTTTCTTTTTTGAGCCAACTGCATGGCGAATGCACATGGGCAGAAAAATCCAACGTCCCGGCAGATCCCACACGCGTCGAGTTCGGAAAAGCAAAAATGGCCTTGCGACACTTTATTTTATTAATACAGTCTGTTGTTATGATCCTGGCCGATTTCGAGATACACATCCATCAGATAGTACAATGCCGCCCAATTGCAGAAAGAAATGAATGAACTTGAGAGGAGAGAGAGGATTAGAAGAAGAAGAAGAAGTAAGAAAGAAGAAGAAGATGATTTACACCAGCATAGACAAATGACAAGGCTCTTCTTCTTCGCCCAACAATCTCCTCCTCCTGATCTCCCCCTTCTCTTATTCATACAACAAGAAATAATAATACAATGTTGACTGGCTGATGCAGAATCAATGTCCGAGTTCCTCTTCTACTGGCGGCATCACTTGAGGTCCGCCATAGCCATGGCCGCCCCCACCTCCCTTCCTCATCATAGGCCGAGGCTACGGCGGACTACTAGGCCTTGCCCAGATGCCCAAAGGACAACCCAAAGCAGCTATGGCTGCTTCACTCAGGCCGCCATGCCCAACTCTGCCTTGAAGCTTCTTGGTGTGGCTCTCCCCAGTTGGGGACTCCCTGCTGCAGCGCCCACCAAGGTGATGAAGATGGCTGCCGCCATAGCCAGGTAAGTACCCCTGGCGCTCTTCCCCCTTCCTGTCCTTCTTCCTCCTCTGTGTCCTTCTCCTTCCCCCAGCAGCGCTGCTCCTGGATAGCGCTGCTCCAACCGGCGCTCCAACCAGTGTGTTGCCAAACTTGCACAACGAGAAAGAGGCCGGGCTCTTCGCCCGGCTGGGAGATATAGCGGTCTGCTTGCCTCTTCGGGCGGTGACTTCCAGGCCGCTCGGCCTTCCAAGCAACCGGTACCTCCTCCCTTTTGGAGGGAAACGTCATTGCAGACTCTGATATTGCCCGTACAGGCCCTACACCCAGACTGATTGGACTGGTATCCGCCTAGACCTAACCTACAACTACTGGGCCTCTAAAAATGCCACTTTTGTCTTCTTCTGCTCAACCTCCAGTACCCGCACATCTACCTCTTCAGGGTCCGGTACCGGCCTACCTGCTACTTGAGTGTTTTTCCTGCTGCAATTCCTCAATGTCACGGCCATAGGTAAGTACCGGCCCTGAGGGCCCAATGAACGAACAAGTGCCCTTGCGGGCCACACACACACTCAAGCCAACCAGCACTCAGACAGGCACGACCACACACACACTCAAGCCAACCAGCACTCAGACAGACATGCAGTCCAGCAAGCGTGCACACACAGACTTAGTAGCAGGCGGGAAACTCAGCAAGGCATTCAGTCTATGGGCAAAACTCAGAAATCAGTCGTGTGTTTCAGTCGATGTTTGGAAGGGTCATCACACTACCCCCCCCTCAAGAGCGAGGTCCCTTCGAGCGAGTAACTCATTCTGAGTCCTCGACAAACGCATCGTAAGCAAGCAAGGCAAAGAGGTTCCTAGAATACTCCGTCGCAGTAAGCCTTGTGGAGATCTTAGGAGTAGCGTTAGCTGCGATTTGTCGCTCGTAGGCTTTAACAATGCGTGGTGCGCTGCGTAGCAGTTCCTTCTTGGAAATGTCGTACAGATCGTCCAACGGGTGATACATGAAGTGAACCTGGTATTGTCTGTTGCGTCCCGTCCCTACGTGTTGTTTAATTTTGTCTATCTCATGCCCGTCTTTGATTGCACGAGGGATCATGTCTTCGTGATAATCGAACGTCTTAGCGTGACGGTGGAGGTATAGTTTTGATGCATGAAACACAGAGTATGTGCGCAGATGGGCTGGCACATCAACTACGTACGAAGGGCCAAAGTGATCTTCGCCAATCACATCCAAAAGTTCCCACGGACCATAGTAAAGTGGGAGAAGTTTTTCGAGAGACTCCCTCTTCTTCTGAAAATTCAGACATCTTGACCCAGACATAGCTTCCTACCTGAATATCCGACGGTCGGCACCTTTTGTTTGCATGATGGATCATGGCGTGTTGTCGCTTGGTCATTGCTGCAATGGCAACTTTGAGCAAGCGATCATACTTGGCCCTGAAGCCAGGCCTGTCGGTTGTTAAGCCAGCTGGCCGTTCAGGGAATAGGTAGGAGAGCGGATTACGGATCTGCCAACCGTAATGCAACCTGTTGGGTGTCATGCCGGTGGCGGAATGGACGGAGTGGTTGTATAACCCCTTAACCTAATACAGTTCTTCATCCCATGTTTCCTGATCCGGAATAATCAAGGGGCAGAGAAGTTGAAACACAGTCTGGTTGATATCTTCAGCCAAACCATTGGCTTCGGGGTGTCGGTCAGATGTCATACACAGTCTGATCCCTAGTTGAGACGTGAAGTCCTTCCATTCAGTACTAATGAAGCGCAAATCCCAATCGCTCACAAGAGTCTTCGGGGTTCCGAGCTGCAGAATGTACTCTTGTTGGAACTCACGGATCACTAGTTATGTTGGAGCGTGAGGTGGCAAAGGAATCAGATTAAGGAACTTAGAGAATCGGTGAACAATCACCATGACTTGTGAGTAGCCGTTCTTACTTCCCTTTCCCAAGTCGGTGAAGTCGATGGAGACGGACTCCCCGAGACCTTTGGGGATAGGAAGGGGTGTGAGTAGCCCCATGGGCTTTTGTCTGCATGGTTTGATTCGTTGACAGACTTGACATTCAACCACAAACTTTTCAGCAGTCTTTTTCATGTCAGGCCAATCAAACTGTCTCAGCAGATTTGCGTACATCTTTGCCATGCCGAAGTGTCCGCTCCGGCCATGAGCCAAATCCAGAAAGTGCGTGCGGAGAGGCTCATGGTTGGGTACATACAAGCGGTTGTGGTTCCTGTAGCAGCGGAAAATCAGTCCTCCATACTCGTGAAAATCGGGCTGACTGCTAGGATCAGCCCGCGGCCGCTCAAGGATGGGACTAAGTTCCGGATCCTTGGTTGTATGCTCTACGAGCTCCTCCTTCAGTTTCCTCCGGAGGTCGTAGGACTTCACAAGGCAAGTCATGTACTCAGGGTGGCGAGACAATGCGTCAACAACTCGATTATAACAACCTTTTTTGTGTCTCAACTCAAAGTCAAAAATGTTAATTTCACGGAATCAGCGAAGTAACATAGGGGACAGTGTAGTTTGCTCCTTGATCCACTTCAGAGTCTCATGATCTGAGAACACTTTGAAGTGGCATCCCAAAAGATAGTGCTTCCAATGGTCCAAAGTCATACGCAGAGCATAGAGCTCGCGCATGTAGGTGGAAGTGGCTACCTTTACGTTGGGCATGCGTTTGCTGTAGAATTCGAGCGGCCGTAGGCCATCGCCACCATCTTGCTGCAGCACTGCGCCGATTCCATACTGACTTGCATCCGTAGTAACTACGAATGTGAGTTTGGGATCTGCAATGCGGAGTACTGGGTAACTTACCAAAGCTTCTTCCAAAGCTTGAAAGGCGTCCTTGCATGCGGTGTCCCAAGAGTAGGGAACATTCTTACTTGTTAACCGGGACAACAGACGAACAACAATAGAGAAGCAGGGCACAAACTTCCGATAGCATGACGCGAGACCAAGAAAAGAGCGCAGTTCACGGATGTTCCCGGGCTGAGGCCAATTGCATATGACTTCAACCTTGGTTGCCTCAGGCTCTAGGCCGGCAGCAGACAACTTATGCCCAAGATAGATGACGCTATCCTTCCCAAACTCAGATTTCTCTAGGTTGAGATGAAGTTGCGTCTTCTTGAGGATAGTGAGCACTTCCTTGAGGTGCTTGAGGTGTTCCTCCATGGATTTGTTGAAGATCAGTATATCATCGAGGTATACCACCACGAACCGACCAATCTGTTCACGGAGGACCTTGTCCATGAAGCTTTGGAAGGTGGCTGGTGCGTTCGTGAGACCGAAGGGCATTATGGTAAATTCGTAAAGCCCATCGCGTGTTTTGAACGCAATCTTGTGCTGGTCCGCAGGATCGACTTCAATCTGGTGGTAGCCACACTTGAGATCGATCTTGGAAAAGATCTTGCACCCACTTGCGGCATCAAGCAAGTCATCTATGCGAGGCAATGGATAGGCGTTTTTTCTTGTGATGCGGTTTAGACCACGATAGTCAATACACATGTGGAGCTTGCCCCCTTTCTTCGGAACAAACAACACAGGAGCACCAAATTCAGACTCACTAGGCTTGATCCACCCTTTGTCAATCATTTCGCCAATCTGTCGTCGGAGTTCCTCCAACTCGTTGGGTCCCATTCGGTATACGCAGCCCTTTGGAGGAACAACACCCTCGACCAACTCGATGGTGTGTCAGACCGATCGCGTGGGGACTCCATGTGGCTCGGCCAGAACTTCCGGGAGCGGATCGAGTAGGTTTTGGATGTTCGGTGGAACCGGTGGAGGTGGAGGATCAGCAAAGGGATCACCTAGATCAGGTCGCACGTTGCGAATAGAGGCGACCGAATCTTAAGTAGGATCATTTGGACTAGTAGAAGGTAGAGAAGTAGGGGTGCTAGAAGTAGAAGTACTAGAAGTAGAATCACTAGCCGAAGTAGTAGTGGTATTAACCGCAAAAGTAGATGGCACATGGGTAGGACGAACAAAGGCAACATACAACTGTTCGTCCTCTTTGTGATTGTGCCATTTCTTGCAGAACTTCATAGCATTCAGAAAAATCATTGGGGACTCGTGCTTCTCATCCAAGAGGACGGGGAACTCGTTCCCTTGAGCATCTTTGACCATGAAAAGTGACTCCTTCCACTTGGTCCATTCGCACTGGGACTGCAGCCAGCCCAAGCCAAGGACAACGTCGAAGGGGCACTTGGACATGGAAGTTCAACACGTGTGTGACAGTTTTGTCCTTGTCAAAGGTAGTGCGCACACCTTTGACTGCATGCGTAGAAGAAACAACTTCTTTGTTGCCAACTTGGGTTCGGCAAGGGTTCTGCAAGGCCACTTGCTTCATTCCCAAGCCCACTTTGCATATCCCATGAGGTGACATAAAGTTAGTAGTAGCGCCACAGTCAATCAAGACACGGAGATAGCGGTGGTTTATGAGAAGTTTGAAGAAGATCAACTTCACTGTCCCTTCGGCATGCTGCTGTTTCATCTCAGCCCAATGCTCCAAGTGGTAGTGGAAGTTGACCGTCCCAGACTCCTTCCAAGGCTCGGCATACAAGACTCTACACACTTCAGCCTTGGCTTCAGCAGATGATTGGGCTTCAAGGGAGGACTGTTGATTTGCATCAGATTCAGTCTGCCTTGCTGTAGAGTGTGCTGAAATCGACTCTACGCCCGGGTCTGGTTTCCCTGCAGCCTATAGCAATCTTGTACCTTATGGTTCGGTTTCTGGCAATGCAGGCATACCCCCTTCTTGAGTCTTCCCCGCCAATCATTTTCAGTGATGTGGAGATCGACCCACGGCTTAGTGGCCACATCCTCCGGTTTTGCTGGGATTTTGATTCCCTTGGGAAGCTGGACATAGTTTTTCCCTGCATTCCGATTTGGTCCCTTTGTATTGGCAGTCTTTTTAAAGGCAGTGGATTTTTCTTCTTCTTGGTTTGCGTCAGACTTATGGGCTAACGAACATGTTGTATCAGTGTCCTATTCTTGGTCGTCACCAAGAGTGGGGTCATTTGCATCGGCCTCTTCTTCAGCCCCAGCAGGTCATGCAAAACAAAATGGTTGCTGCCTTTGAACCGCCTGCCGCCTGCTGTGGAAACGAGGTCTATAGCCTCAAGACTGACTATGTCCTTCATAAGAGTGAACCAGTCAACCCAATGAAGTTCCTGCTAAGGCGATTAGTGAAACTGGTGGGGACCGCGCCTTTGACCACATCCAAGCAAGATTGGTCAGTCAATTCTAACCCGGGTGTAGCAAACATCTTACTGAGGTAGGTCTGCAGGCTTTTCATGGAGCCCATCCACTTGCTGCGTTTAATTTTATCAAGCTGGCTTCTTGCCCTTGCTGCGGCGTGTGGATCCATATATTGGGAAATGAGGAGTTCCTCGAGGGAGGCAACCGGGATGGCCTTAAGCCACCTTGTCAGTTCTATCTTAGGCACCCTAGCTTGCGTAGCTTAGACCTCTAGGAAGCCCCGTACAACAGGCTCGACATTCATTCCCATGATCACGGACTGGGTCTCAAGTTGAGTTCCCAGAACCTCAAAATATGCCCTCATGGAGCTGATCCAGAATTCAACGTCTTCTTTGTCGTCATACTTAGACGGTATTTGCACCGCCTTTCGATCCACATAGGGACCGGCGTGGCTGGGACCAGCACCTACTGGTTCAGATCTTGGGGCTGCAGCAGTTGCAAAATTTCCTGCATCATTGCTTGTTACGACAACAGCGGAATCTGCACGTGTTGCAGGTCCTGAGGGGTTTGCCATCATACTCAAGAAAGAAGTAGAAGAAGATACGGTAAGAGGGGCATAGTTAGTTTCAATTGCAGCTCCGTAACCAGGGGGTAGAGGAAGAGGATTGACCGCTTGGGCTTGTCGCAACGCAGCAACCTTTATCGTCAAGTCACGGTACTTGTCGGTCATCTCAGTCAGATCCTCTTGAAGTTTCTGCAATTTTGCGAAGACTTCGGCGATCTGAGTGGTATGATCTTCAAGGCTTCGGACTTGGACGATAGCGGTAAGTATGGACTGCAGTTGTTCCCCATACTGCTCTTTGGTCAGTGAGGGGACAGTTTCCAAGATGGCCTCCCGACTTTTCAGCAGCAATTCCTTCCTCTCCTTCTATGTCTCCTGTTCCCTTTTGATGGCACTATCTAGGAGTGTTTGCAGATACGGTTTCTCCGCATCGCTGGTTGCATCTAACAGGGCCTTCCACTGGACTGAGGTTAGTTGTGGCTGGGCCATTTTCGGACCGTTGTCGTCGGCAGGTGGATCGGAGAGACGCCAATCAGCAAAAGAATCAATCAGACTCTCAAGAGCTACACTCCCCTTTTCGCTTGGATGAACACTCCGTTTCCCAGTCCTTGCCCACCCCAGACAGTCACTTTCCCTCTCTTCCTTTTCTCTCTCCCTCCTCTCTCTCTCTTATTTCTGGTTGCGAGTCTCCACGGGCATCGGAAATGAACTCAGAGAAACAGACTGAAAAACTCAGAGAAGAGAAGGTAAAACTCCTAGCCGGGAGCAACATTTCATTTGGACTTGAAGAGCAGCAAACCAAAGAACAGCAAACAAATTCACATGAGAGGTCTGATCCAGCGACCCAGTCTGATGAGACTCCATACGAGGTCCTCTCGAGTACAGTATGACCAGCTTCGTGACCGTGCAGCAAATCAAACAACGAGTGACTGAATGCAACAACGGAGAATTGAGTGGTGTACAGGGTGCGAGTCAAGCCACGGACGATGCAACCAAAAGCATGTGAAACGGCTCAGCCGAGATCCCCTCGGCAGTGGGTGTCCTAACCAATAAGAATAAAACTCCGGATCTCAGTCAGGAAGACAATGGACTAATGCCAAACTGATTTGGGTCCAAAGGGCTCTTCTTGTTTGGGCCCGGTCCCACTAGGTCCCAGAGGTCCCACGTAGGCCGCGACCAGGTCCCAACCAAGAGGAGTCCCACATGGACTCAGTTCAGTTTCTACCGTACCGAAAAACGAAATTTCAACTTCCGGCAGAACCTACAGACTACAACCGTTCAGAGATGAAAAGACAAAGCACTGTAAAAAGACTCGACATTCGGATCAAGATACTTCATTTTCCATCCATCAGGTGAGTAGGTAGATCACACACATTCAATCACACAATCAAGACCACAGAGGAGTAGGAAAAGAAACCCAGAGTAACCCCAATAGGACAAACCATACCATGCACACACACATGGGCATCCCGTAGGTGCACGACACTTACCTGAGTGGCCTTGAGCTTCGAGATGAATAGAACTCACCCCCCTCTCATGTGATCCTCCTGACCCCTCTAACGCTACCCCTACACTAGTGCCCTATCTCCTAGGAGGGTCTGACTCCAACACCAAAGTGCAACGCCGGATTCCCCCGTCGATGCTGAAGAGCAAAGTAGCAACTTGCAGTCCGTCGATGCTGAGTGGCCGCTGACCCTCCAGCTCGCCTACTTGAGGGCAGCCCTTAAGTTGCCAAGTGTCTCTCTTGAGTCAGATTCCAGGTGCGAGTGCCTCTCACTGTCGCCTCTCTCAAATTGTCGCATGAAGCCTCCTCGAAATGTCTCGCCACCCTAATCTCACTCTCAAGCAACCTGGTTAGGTTCAATGTTGACCCCACATGACCTAACCAAGTGGGGGCAGCTTCCCTTAGCCACTCTGCCCCACTTCCCTGAACCAACCAACCCTAACCCTAAGTGTTGCCCTCAACCACTTAGGTTAGGGTTAGGGCAGCAAACCAGCAAGTAGAATCCGCTCCGATACCAATGTTATGATCCTCGCCAATTTCGAGATACACATCCATCAGATAGTACAATGCTGCCCAATTGCAGAAAGAAATGAATGAACTTGAGAGGAGAGAGAGGATTAGAAGAAGAAGAAGAAGTAAGAAAGAAGAAAAAGATGATGCTCACCAGCATAGACAAATGACAAAGCTCTTCTTCTTCGCCCAACAATCTCCTCCTCCTTATCTCCCCCTTCTCTTATTCATACAACAAGAAATAATAATACAATGTTGACTGGCTGATGCAGAATCAATGTCCGAGTTCCTCTTCTACTGCCGGCATTACTTGAGGTCCACCATAGCCATGCCCCCTCCTCCCTTCCTCATCATAGGCCGAGGCTATGGCGGACTACTAGGACTTGCCCAGATGCCCAAAGCACAACGCAAAGCAGCTATGGCTGCTTCACTCAGGCCACCATACCCAACTCTGCCTTGAAGCTTCTTGGTGTGGCTCTCCCCAGTTGGGGACTCCCTGCTGCAGCGCCCACCAAGGTGATGAAGATGGCTGCCACCATAGCCAGGTAAGTACCCCTGGCACTCCTCCCCCGTCCTGTCCTTCTTCCTCCTCCGTGTCCTTCTCCTTCCCCCAGCAGCGCTGCTCCTGGATAGCGCTGCTCCAACCGGCGCTCCAACCAGTGTGTCGCCAAACTTGCACACCGAGAAAGAGGCCGGGCTCTTCGCCCGGCTGGGAGATATACCGGCCTGCTTGCCTCTTCGGGCGGTGACTTCCAGGCTGCGCGGCCTCCCAAGCAACCGGTACCTCCTCCCTTTCGGAGGGAAACATCATTGCAGACTCTGATATTGCACGTACAGGCCCTAGACCCAGTGCTTGGACTGGTATCCACCTAGACCTAACCTACAACTACTGGGCCTCTGAAAATGCCACTTTTGTTTTCTTCTGCTCTGCCTCCAGTACCCGCACATCTGCCTCTTCAGGGTGTGGTACCGGCCTACCCGCTACTTGAGTGTTTTTCCTGCTGCAATTCCTCAATGTCACGGCCACAGGTAAGTACCGGCCCTGAGGGCCCAATGAACGAGCAAGTGCCCTTGCGGGCCACACGCACACTCAAGCCAACCAGCACTCAGACAGACATGCAGTCCAGCAAGCGTACACACACAGACTTAGTAGCAGGCGGGGAACTCAGCAAGGCATTCAGTCTATGGGCAAGACTCAGAAATCAGTCGTGTGTCTCAGTCCATGTTTGGACGGGTCATCACACTGTCTTCTCCTCATATGGGAATTGAAACCAAGACCTACATGCCACTTGTGTGCCTTACCAACTGAGATAGGCAGCTGGATCCATGCTCTTTTTAATGAGCATGGCCTTGTGCCTGCTTTKWTTTTTTTTTTTTTTTTTTTTTTTTTTTTTAGGTCCCCATTCTCATGCCACCAGTTTGCCCTTTCAGTCTTTTCTCTAGTTATGCGTGTCATGATTGCACAGGGGCCGTGCTAATCTTCTGTGTATCATTCCAATTTTAACAGATGTGCCAAGGGACGTTTCGTCCTTCGAACATCCATTAAAATTGGAACGATATAGAGGAGATTAGTGTGGCCCCTGTGAAAGGATGACACACATAAATCGAGAAATGGTCCGAAGGACCTTTCAATCTCTTCTTCCTTTCTTCTTTCTTCTTCTTCTAACTTAAATGTGTTGCACACAACCAGCTTGAACCAATGGAATTATGAAGCAGTAAAAAGAAACACAGGAAAGAACCTAGGATTAGGGAAAACCCTTAGAGGGGATGCTAGTATCACCTCATTTAGCACGTGCCCCAGACTTCGAAGTTTTTCCAAAAAAAAAAAAAGGAAAAACCCTAAAACTAATTATACATACTACCAGTCCAAGAACTTTTCCAAATATTTCAGGTCAATTGTGTAGACAGTGTAGAGAGAGAAGCCCCTTTTTTTGGGGTGTGTCCTCGACGTGGAGAGTTGCTTACTGTGAACATCGAGAATAATGAAATTGCTGAGAGTGGCGCGATGTAGGGGTGGCAGTTCTCCCCTCACTGCTCTGACAATGTCATTGAGCTCTTCGGTACAGCGTTGCTCGTATGCCCGGAGAGGGTCCATTGCTCCCGAGCCTGTCCACGCCACCTTTCCGTCCCCTACAACCAGCTGGAAGGCACACACAGGCAGCCATGGAGGTCAATTTTTTTGAAGCCACCGGTGAACGAATGAACAACTTTGAAGGGATGCACAATCTCTTTTCAATCCACCCAAATTTCAAAACCATCAAGTGGGTGGTGACCTGCATTACCAACCGGGCCACTTGGGTCACCTTGGTGGCCGAGACAGCCGTGCCAGGGAAGGCCCTGTAAAAAGAAAAAGAATCCAAACAACTCTAAAAAAAAAAAAACTACATTGTGCAGAAAAATAAACCGGACAACTTTCGATGGATGGGCTGATATTTTTGAACTGGGTCTTGGACCCTATCCGAAATGGCCAGTTCAAACGGAGCCCGGAAGGAACGGTCTTGGCTAAGCATGACGGATCTCTTCGGCAGCATATCTCCCTGGGGGTTGGCCACAGTATAGCACCCTGGTTTGGAATTATCAAAGGGCAGTGATGACGTTTTGTTGGCTGCTCCTCTGCTCACTTTGTTAGCTGGCTTTTCACGCAGTCTCCTCTTTCCGGCTCCCGGCGTCTCCCCTACCCCTGCGGCATATATTTTTTCGAACTTGTCCCACCTCCCCTCGTCTTGCCCAGCTCTATCTGTGTGCTGCGGATCCTGATATCCGTGATCTCGATCTCTGGCTACTGGTGGTGATGCCGCCAAAAAAACTCTTAGCTCATCATCTCATCGTCTCTGACCAGCTTTATGTCTCTGTCTCTTTCTTGTCTTCTCTCTCTCTCTCTCTCTCTCTCTCTCTCTCTCTCTCTCTCTCTCTCTCTCTCTCTCTCTCTCTCTCTCTCTCCGTTTCTTTTCTTTTCTCTTCTTTTCTTTTCTTTTCTTCTCCACCTTCCTCCCTTTCCTCTCTTTCCCGCCCGTCTGAAATCTGACGCCCCAAACCTCGTTTTCTCCTTTTCCTCTCCTTCCCCGGAAGGTTCTTTGATGCCTGACCCTTATTTCCCGCGGATTATCTGGCTGCATCTTGCCCCTCTCGAAGCTACGGGACAGTCCCTGTTTTCCCCCCTTTCCCGCCTCGGTCACTGCTACCTGCAAATGTGTCCTGCAGAAGTTTTCGACGTGCTAGGGAATATGTGTCCCGTTTTCAGTGATACGAAGCGAGTACCGCGCGGTGGAATAGGAGTTGGGAAAGGTGATACGATATGTCCCACGCAGCTAAGGATGACGTATTTGAAGAGGTCTCTCTCGATCTGTTTTTCAAGCGCATCTCCAAGTCCCCTGATGATGGCTTTGCAGCTGGCGGCAAAGCCGAAACCGGTCGGGACAACGCAAGTAGGCTATGTTGTTCAGTCCATTTTAACGAGGGCCTAATTCTTCAGCACTACTCTGTTCTCAGGGCTACTTTCTCTTCTCTCTCTCTCTCTCTCTCTCTCTCTCTCTCTCTCTCTCTCTCTCTCTCTCTCTCTCTCTCTCCATGCCTCTGCCGCCTTTCCCTAGTTACGGCCTGTTCTTTTGTGTTGTGAATTGCTGGAGTTCTTTCTGCTCGTGAGTTGAAGGTGACTGGTTTCATCGAACACTGGTCGAGTGCAGGGCTTGTCCCTGAGTTGGCGGTTCAATTGTGGTTCTCACGTCGGCCCATCCATCGACCTTCGTTAGCGCATTAACCACCGTGTAGATTGCGGTGTGGTGGATACGCCAGGCTTAACTCATCGGTGTCACCATCTTCAGCTAACGCGTCACGTAAAGGCTTGAAGCAGCTGTGAAGTATGGGAGATGGCCAAGTCCCATATGGTGCCTGCTTTAATTGCGGGCGGCATGGACACTGGGCAAGAAGCTGCCTGTATCCAAGAAGGGATGAGAGATTCGTCTCGGGAAGGCCGATTGGAGGACCAAGCTATGCGCACGTGGCAAGTCGAGGCCAACCTGTTTTTTTTGCAACCTCTTGCCACTCTTCCCCAATATGCACCCTCCATCCCTCCTTTGCCTCCACCGTCTGCTTCTTCTTCAGTCCTGCCAACGCCTCTGGCTCCCCCTCCACCTCCTCTTGCTCTACCACCCCTGCAATCTCACTCTCACTCTCAACCTCTACCCCCCTCACATTCCTCTTCATCAAGAGGTTCAGTCCAAGCATCCGACTTCTCAGCCTCCACGTCGAATGCTTTGGTGCCTTATCAACCACGGCAAGTTGTGGAGTACCAAGGATCGACCGGCTGGAATTCGTGGAATTCCAGGTATCGATCGTCTGAAAGAGAGATATTAGCTTTAGTTCTGGAGCTGGCTCACGACCATAGGGAATTGTGAGAGCAGCGTAGAATAGAGAATGAACGGAGAATGAGAGAGGAGCAGGAGAGGGCTGCGAGAGAAGCAGAGACAAAGAGGAAGGAAGCGGAAGAAAAGGAGGGAGGCGGAAAAAGAAGCAAGGCTGGCTAAGATGATGGATGAAAAAATGAAGGAGATGGAGAAAATGAGGGAGGAGGATAACAAAAAACAATGGGAGAAGATCGGAGCAAAAAAGGACATGGAAGCTGTTGAAGGGGATAAAGCTGCAAGCCTGGCTGATAATGGGAAGAAAAGAGGGCAGGAGGAGATCACGGTCGCACCAACAAGTCAGCCATCCACTCCAAGACAGCGTGTCAATGACGTCGGCACTCTTGATGCTGGACTCCTACTTATGAATATTGACAACGTGCAAAGAGCACAGGCGCAACAGAGTCAAATGATGGAGCGGGCGCAGAACCAGCAGAATCTCATGTTTGAGCGAGTGATTGGACTGATTGAGAAGATTGAAGCATCGCAAAGGAATATTGCTCGTCCACTGGATGTTGCTGCCCAGGCTGCGTCAACTGCAGGGACTGCCGCGGCCCCACCAAACAATTTTGAAGGTGTAGCAGTGGGTGGGGATATGGATCCACCCCGCTACCGTAATGTACGTACGGTTGCACCTGAAGTCCCTCCCCCTACTCCCCCTCACCAACCGCAGTATCCGACTAGTGTTATGCCTTCTGCCCCGGCACCTGCAGCTCCTGCTAGACCCCCTCCTCCACCACTTGCTCGCCCTCCTAATCCTAGACCCCCGCAGTCTCCTACACCACCCTCCTCCCCCCCTCCCCCTCCCCCTCCTCCTTCTCCCCCTCCTCCACCGGCTCCTTTTGCCCCAGTCACCCGAAGAGAATCTGGTATCGTTTTTCGGGAACAAGCTCCGACTTTGACCCGCCCTGTCACACGCAGTATGACAACACCTGTAGGAAGGCAGGCAGACAACGAAGCGGGGCCATCGAGGGTGCAAGCCGATACTCCCATGGCTACCGGAAGATCGACTAGGAGACTGGCTGAGGTTTTTGCCTCCATTGCTGGTACCGCGAGGCGTGTTTCTGGGAGTCTGTCAGCAGTGAGAATCGGCACTCCTCGGATTTGATTGGGTTAGGGAGGGGAGTATGTGGCCAACCCAGGGCCTGGAGGGAGAAGACAATACAGGGAGGACATGCAAAAGGTGTTGATGGCGAAATACAAAAACGAGTTGGTTGTGCAATAGGGACAAGAATAAATACCATAACTCAAGAGGAGAATCCTTCTTGAGTCCTACCGTGATCAGCAATGGCTGTGGAAACAAGTAACAGATCTTTGCCAACTAAGGAATGAAAGGAGTGTGAAAGGGAAGGAAAAACTGTGGCTTGAGGAAAAACTGAGATTTTTTGTCTTACTGCTAGTGTTGGCAGGGCAAATAGGGTGGGGGTTGAAGTTTGTCGATCAATGGGTTGACTCAGTACGAGGGGGCTACGATATATGTCAAGGGGACGGGTGCTGTGTGTACGTGTTACTGTCGCCCTGGCTGAAAGCAACATATAGTAGGTCTACTACAAGGGGTATATCTGAAAGATGGGAGGAGCATATTGCATCGGTAAATAAGTTTTCTACTAGAAGGAACCGTAAGAAGGGGGCTGGCTGTGAAGGGTTGGGGTAACTACGTCGCTATTCCATTACTAAGTGTTTATGCTAAGGAACTTAGAAATGTGGAAATGAGTTGTATTGCCAGATGGTCGCCTGCGCTCAATACACAACGAAGAAACGGACGGTGTGCACAACAGAAGGGGAGAAGAGAATGTCGAGCTTTTAGGAAAAAGCATGGGTTTTGGAGTCCCGAGGCCGTCGAATGCAATCACCTTCTGGTTTGGGAGGTGTCATCCGGTAGTTCTCTCTTTACCGAAAGATTATCTGTCACACTTTCTTTAGGAGCGGCTCTAATGAAAGTTGTCACCACCAATTGTTATTCAGCTACTATTCGGACGAGGGGTGGGTACTACTTTTTTGAGGGCTGGGGTAAATTAAAGAAACAGTGCGGTTGGTCGATTGTCGAATATGACGACTGCAAGGTCTTTTTAAAGGATGCTAGGACTTTTTTCAAGGAAGGCGGTACTTTTCACGTTCTGCATATTAGGCTGGTGAGAAACCTCTCTCAACTAAGGAAGATTGTTCTGGTTTCTCTATTCCAAATGCCTCGGACCAGGAAACTACTATACAGTTTCAAAATTAAAGCCCTAATCACTCTGTATAACTGTATTGAGTCCTTCGAAAATGGTAGGACTAGAGCCATTCTTAATAATGTTGTGGGAAGGGCCCAGAAAATGAAATGCAGCTTTGGTTGTCTGTCAGTTGTCACTATCACGTGTGATTTTCAGATACTGTTGTCAAACGGGAAGTTATCAATGTGGCAAAAAAGGAAATTAGGAGGCGCTTTGAGCCTCAGTGTGTTGCTGATTTCATGGTGTCTCATATGAGATTCATCTGGTCAGAGTTGAAAACTATCGGGGATAACCTGCACAATCACAGGCTGATGGCAAAGTCCGGGTCTTGCGAATGCAACTGCCGCAGTAGGGACGCAGTGTTCCCCAGAAATCAGGATGGCCACGTGTTTTTCAGGTTCTCTGAGTTCTTCGAAGTACCAGATTGTCTAGCCAACTCACGGAACACTCTACCGCCCAAGAAACCAATCAGTGTAGGTATCCTTAAGAGAGCCATAGAGATTGGCACTTCTAGTTGTCCAGGCCTTCCCCGGGTAACTAATCGTGACTTAGCTCTATGGGGGGGTAACGATGCATGGCTGGGAATTCTCCCTCCACGAAAAGGACCGCGTGGAAAAAGGCAAAGTTTTCTCCGCCCAAATATCTACCTTCATCCCCAAACACTACTCCCCGGGTGTGAGGGCAGGACTCAGGTTTGAAAYGTCCAACGAACAGATAGCRYGAAATGATTTGTATCTACTCTTTGATCCCAATAAAACCTCTGATCTAGGATGGTTTAGCCACAACGCTCTCCTGGACCTGCAGTGCGCCAAGATTAAAGCCAACGACTTTTGGTCCGAAGACAATGTGTGCCGATGCCTGCGTCGCATAGCGCGAGAAAAAGTATTACACCTGGACAGATGGGATCTCAAACATTGGCACCCGCTATGACACACCCCGATGGACGGAGATCTCAAGAGCCAACACTAAGGGATCCATTCAACTAGAAATCAGAAAGGAAGAAATGGATGACCTAGACACGCTATACTGCCGGAACCCGGCATGGCGCAAATGCGTCGAATCAGCAGACCTGGACCTGCGTTCCATTAACGTTAATGGACTGGCATCATGTAAACCTAAAAAGCGCCAAGCGATTTCGGATCAACTCAAAGGTGTTGGAGGCAGACGATGGCCAGACGTTGTTTGCATACAAGAAACCCATCTGTTAGACAACCCGGAACATAACAGAGCGCTAAAGCAAATCTGGCCACACACGGCTATAAGTGCACACGCCACCAGACCCGGCTCAGCGGGGGTAGCAATCTGGGTCCCTCCTGATTCTAGGTTTGAGCCAGTCCACTGGGTAGTGGACGAAGAAGAAGGACGTTGGGCCTCAGTCCTGGGCATGTTGGAACTCGAATTGCTTTGCATCATTTGCATATACTCTCCCAACACAGTAGGGGAAAGGAGGGAATTCCTGGGAAAGATCGGTATGCTAGTCCCAGAGGGTATCCTCCTGGTCCTAGCAGGAGATTTCAATGCCACCCCCGACAAGGGATTGGACAGATGGAAACCCCAGGAATCACCCTCCTTCGCGGCGGCAGAGGACGAACAAATGATAGCTGACCTCTGCGAATCGCTTTCGGTTTTTGACACCTCTCGACGGCTGCACCCCCAAACACGACTCTTTACATGTATACGAGATTATGACCCGGCGCGCTTATCTAAATTCAGAATCGATCTTATCCTGCTATCCAATGATCTAAAAGGGGCACTGCGATGGGCACTGATTCTCCCGCGTAGCCCGTACCCCGGTCTGGACCATAAAACATGCGGCATTGTATTGACTATGAGGAAAAGGCCCGACCAAGGACCGGGCTTCTACAAACTTAATACCTCCCTGCTCAAGGACACGTCCTTCTCGCAGATGATCAGACATGAATGGAACTTCTGGCGGCAGCAGCAACACCTTTTCGATTCGCGACTAATCTGGTTTAACAATGGTCTAACCTTCCTCGCAAAGAAAAGTAAGGATTTTTCCAAAACCAAAGCAGCACTACGACAATACCAAGAAATGACCACTCGTAACGAACTAATGAACCTGGAACAGCAAGTAGAGTCGTTACAGCCAACTGCCTCCACCCAAGACCAGCACCGCCTCATCTCAGCTATCCAAGATAAGGACCAACTTTTACAATTTGCACTGCACAGATGGCAAGGTATTAGAATCCGAGGGAAAATGCACCACCTAACACACGAAGCGTCCATGGACACCCAATTTTTCTCGATGGCCACCGCTAGAGCTCGACGGACAATTATCGAAGCTTTCTTTGACCCAGAAAATTCTAACAACATCGCCATTGACACTGCACATTGCACATTAATCACTAGGAAATTCTTCAAACAGCTGTACACCTCTCAAATCCCAACCCCCCCGCAGGGGGAAGCGAGAGTCAGGGAATTACAAGAATTTCTCTCCCCGATGGATCGCTCGATTTCCCCCCAACAGCGAGACGAACTGGAGATACCACTCGCCAAGGAAGAGGTATGGACCGTGCTCCTCCAGATGAAGGAAGAAAAAAACCCCGATATTGATGGTTTTCCCAAAGAATTTTGGGAAGCCACATGGACAGACATGAGCAATGATTTGTGGGAATACTATCAGGGCGTATGGGAGGCAGGGGAAATGGGGGAGATTGTGGGAAGAGGCGTCCTGTCTCTTCTTTACAAAAAGGGAGATAAAATGAACATTAGAAATTATAGGCCTATCACTCTACTCACTGTGGTCTACAAAATGCTTTCCAAAGCACTGGCCAACCGAATGGCAAAAGTTTTGGAAGATGTCATCGGCCCAAACGGGATTCATGTCCAGCACGAATATTCAAGAGAATATTTTGCTGGTTAAAGAGGCGGTCCAACTCGCACAGCGGAATGGGGCAAACGCGACCATTATCTTTATTGATTTCGAAAAAGCCTATGACCACGTGGATTGGGACTTCCTGGATAAATGTCTAGAGAAAATGAACTTTGGTCCGACTTTCCGACGTTGGGTTAAGATCCTACACCAAAATGCCACCACCTGTGTCCAGGTCAATGGGTCAGTGGCACCACCCTTCGATCTCCAGCGATCGGTAAGGCAAGGGGACCCAATTGCCCCATACCTCTTCGTGATAATAATGGAAGCACTATCAGCCAATTTGAGGAAGAATAGAAATATTACGCGTATTAAGATCGCCAATATCCCGCAGGACGCAATCCCGATTTGTTCCCTGTTTGCGGACGACCTTACGATCATGCCGGAAGCGACAGAATCCAACATGCAGGAAATTCAGTGCCTCATGAACAAATTCTGTCAGTTGTCCGATATGACAATCAATTGGGGTAAAAAAACGGTAGGTTGGTGGATGCATCACCAGGGGGGAAGGCCCCCAGACAGTCCACGAATCACGTGGCTTCCCCATGATGACCCCCTGAGAGTTCTGGGAGCACAAATGACTGCTAAAGGCAAGCCGGTAACGCACGACGAATGGCTGGCTGGACCAGCGAAAGCCAAGTTTGAAAAATGGAACCACAAACACACATCAATTTTCGGGAGAGCGCTGGTCATTAATAATGTAATCCTGGCCACGCTCTGGTACAAAGCCATCCTATGGCCAATGAGTGACGGGGCTCTCAAAGCGCTAAAGCAACAACTCGCGGCCTTCCTCTGGAGAGGTGACAGCAATATGGCCCACGTGATA